TATTGATGTCCCTCTCTTCCATTGGGCTCATTTTTTAATTTAACTTCAGCAAGAAGCAAACCACACAGAACGAAAGCCCAGAGATTCCGTACCTGGTCTCTCTGCTGCAGAGCAACTTGCCTGGATGCAAATCCATTCCAGCCTACATGCATGCATCCACGTGAGCACATCTTTCAGCACTCACTGATAGCCTCACCTTCATCAGGCTTAACAGCACCCGCAGAAGTCCACCAAAGTCTACCGAGTAGCACTGCATTTCTGGCACTAAGCTGTCAGCAGGACATGGGAATGATCTTGTGTTTGACATCCACTGCATTTGTCCATGTACTAACCGCCCAACATCACTATAAATTGAGAGAAGATTAATAGGGAGAGCTGGATAACCTTAGTCTTGAAAGCCTTGTTATCCTTCCCTGAACTCCTAGCTTATTACTCTTTACTTCAAAATGAACGTAATCTTCAGGTGCAATTTCTCCAAAAAACACCAAAGCGTATCATCCCTGACAGTCTTTTCAAAGTAAGACAAATGGACTAGCAAGCATTTCACCTTACACTCAAGCCACCTTTGTGTCTGCGAATAATTATCTTCCCAAATGCTAGCTGCCAAATAGCACTGTTGTATTTGATCAGTACCATTTTAATTTACGTTGATGAAACCATTGTAAAGAATCCAGACAGAATTAAAACAGATTAAGACAGGCTGTGGGACTGATCTTCTCCAGCCTCCTTCTCATCTTTCCTCTGTTGATACTTAATTTGTAAGGCACAACAAAGTCAGCCTGGGTCTATGTTTACAAGAATAAGTTTTTGTTTGCCTGCGCACTTTCCAACATTGTGGCACCTCAATTCTAAGACCGGTGGACATATTTCAAGACAATCAGGGAAGGCAGTAATTCATGTCACCTTTGTACTGGTTAGTTACTAAGATTTTACCTTTCTGCTATCTGTGATCCCAGCAAAGATATACTACAGGTTTTTGTTTCATTTACTTATTTTCCAAAGGTAGACAGAGGTGAGAAGTTTCATCAACTCAGTCGATATATAGAAGCCAAAAGAATAGACAGGACATCCATCTGTAGACAGAGTTTATTTCATTTTCAAAAGTGACTCAAAAAGCCCATAGAGCAGTGTCATACTGCTTCAAGTCTGGGACCGCTAACACCACAAGATTTGCTTGGAACACAGTGTAAAATTTTTAAGCACCGATTCATTTCTGAATAAAAGCTCACCACTATCTCTGAATACCCCTTATTTCTGCACACTTCGCAATAGTACAGACTTATACTAGCATGCACACTGATTGTGTCTCAACACATTGGAATGAGCAAGGCTCCACTGTAACTGCAATTTTATTATAAATCCAATAAATAATAATGCAACATGAAATTACATTTGCTCCTTACGTTGCCATGTCACATCCGAAGATCACATGGAATTATTTGTCTAAATGCAAACTGAAGAACCCACTCAGCAAGCTGCTCTCCAATTTGTGTGTATGTGTGTGTGTGCGTTCCTTCCTCTATGTTTCTAAGTAATAATCCCTAATACTTTCAGGAAAGCTAAAAATGAGCTGAGGCAAGGAAAAATCCTGTGTTGCCTAGGAAGCAAAACACCCTCACACGCTCAAGAGGTAAGCAACAGCAAATCTGCATCAACCCTCCTTAAATAAGAACAGCCACGCAATGGCAGGCATCAGTACTCAGAGAGAAAGCTGGTCCCTACAAAAGTAATGAGGGGAGATGAAAGAAAACAAATCAGCGTCCTTACATCCTGCATGCTTTGTCATGCAGACATCTCTAAATCACTCCTACAATGAGGAGCACAGATTCAGACAAAACTATGGCAGAAAAACATTTCTAATTTTTCCTATGGTTTAATATCAGCTTCTGGCAGTACTAACGTAAGCCAGTACCACTTACATCCAGCACATAAAGCGGCTAAGCTGGTCTGACACTTCAAAGAGCGCTTTTCAACACCAGGGAGAAACTGACCAGTTGGAGGAATATTCCAAACACCGGAGCCAACTTCTCACTTCCCAAGCTACCTTCAGATGTAAATCACTAGCCTGTGGTTGATCTGACACCAAGTTCCAACCACTCCCAGCAGCCACCTATATCTGCAGGCAGGTTTTCCTGATATAAGCGGGCTGCTGCCCCCTCTTCAGAGGTTCAGCAACTAGCCATTTTAGCGTGCAATTTTAACAGCTGTAATAGCAAAGCCAACCAGAGCAGCAATAATATGAGAAACAAAAGAAAAAGAATGAAAGAAAGAAAAAGTCTGCAACATTCAGAAGATAATTAAAAGACTGTTATTTTGGTTTTGTTGTACTTTTTTTTTCCCCAGAGAAGTGAAAGTTAATTACTTGGGGATGAAAATGGAAAGAAGATAACAAAGGCTGAAGGCAGAGCAGCTGCTTCCCCACATTAGTTCTTGGCTGGAAAGAGGCAGCAGGATAGGCTGCTTGGAGTGCAAACAGCGAAAGACACATGGCCATAGCAAATGTGTCACACAGTGAGAATTGCACTTTCACCCAAGCCCTGGGGCTGCCTCGTTGGCAGAAAGGAGTTTGCCAAAGGGCCTTCTCAGGAAGGATAATGAGAAAAGAGCTTGGCCAGTTGGAGGATCACTAGATGGAACCATCTGAACCTTCAAGAAAAAGTCACAACGAGGAAAGGATAGAAGGCTTCATTTGCTTTATATTTCCTTTATATTGCAACTCAGACTACTGGTTCTCTTTCCCAGTTTCACAAAGGTCATCATACATGATTGGTAAGGCAGTCTGTTTCTGTCAGCCATCCCTCTGGGCTCAAACAGCTTAAGGCCTGAACTTGCAAGAAGCACCTGACCATCCTCTAATCCAATGAATGCAGCAGAAGGCTCCTCAGTGGAGCAGAAGACACAAATACAGGGTTTAGCTTTCTAAATACTGATCTACATGTAGGATTGCACAGCTGCAACTACAGAACCGCCCTTTTTCAAAATGCAGACATCTAATTTCCTCACACCGTGGCAAAGCTCTTCTGACATGTTCACCTGTCATACATCCTGAACTCTGACTGAAAATTAGTCCTGCAAACTAAACACTGAGCAGAACGCAAGGGGTCTGCATTACAGATAAAGGAGATAAGACATGTTTGGGAAGGAAAAGTCTAAACGGTTGGCTAAACTACTTGATTTCAGTAGCTGTCTCCAATACCCTTATTATTTAATCCTATTGATGTTTGCATAGTAATTGCTAACGAGTTTCCCACTTTAATCTGCCTCAAGTTAATAAACTGGGTGATAAATCTTGAAAAAATTAAGGTGGGCCTCCTCTCACCAATTTTATCTTTCCTTTCAGATTCAATGCTATTTTGTTTAGATCCTTGCCCTTTTCTCAGATAACTCTATTACAACAACTTGATTATAGTAGCCGCTATAACCTCTGGGTAGCCCTAGCAGTAGGCCTCTCCAATAAATCTCTTCTGCTTCCTTCCTGCCAGGTTCCGTAACAGCAGCAGCATATTTAGGAGGTGCTCTCAAGCAAGACTCAGTCTGTGAGTGAGATCACTTGGCCCATACCATTCCCACTCCCATTCCGGTGGAGTGGAGGAGCCACATTATCACTCTCAGCCTAAGGCCATACAAATGGTTGCTAGAGGAAAAGGCCCTGACCCAAAAGAGCAATGATCATCTTTCAAAAACTTCCATGTCTTTAATAACACTTTACTCTAAAATAAAATATGGCAGTTTTCTGTTGCCTAGGAAGTAAGGAAAAGGAAAGGAGATTTTGTGAATGCAGCAGATATTTTAGAACAAACCAGATGTATAGAAAAGAGATCCTGATGGGTAATGTCTTACATTATTTTCCATGATGATTTTAGAGGAGATTTATTTAAACAATTACAGGGCTAGATCAGAGGAGTTATCTAAAACCAGCACTGCAATTTAAAGCCTTAGCAAGGGAAGCAAGGGCTTTAAGTCCTGCAGCGCCGCTGCTCAACCAAAGCACTCAGTCTTCAAATCAGACTAAGTGCAAAAAGATAAAGAACAGAAGTAATTGCTGTGTGTCATCATTTGTTTCCAGCCTTGGTGTACAACGTAAAATTTATTTGAACTACTTGAACTAGCATTATCTCTTAACTTACCTCTTCTTCATAGCAGTCTCAGATATTCTTTTTTTTCTTCTAAGTACGGTGTGATAGAGTTGAGCTTGAGTGACAATAGCAGGCTTAAGATTATAAGCACAAGCAGTTTTACGTACAACAAGCATATAACTTTTCTCAGGAAATAATACATTGTGTACACCCCTCTGCACCACTGAACAGATAAATCAGTAGTGCTATCCCTAAACCTTAAAATGAAACAGATAAATCAATTTAATAATAAGAGTTTGCCTGGGGCATTAATATCTGAGATTAAAAGACTTCATTTCTGAGTGTGGAATTGGAAGAACAAGTCTGCAAGACTCTGACTTGGTTTTACTCCTGACTAACTTGAATCAATTGCTGCAGTGACTAACCCATGCTGCTCGCACTGCGTGTGGAACAGCAAGTGCCTTCTGGCTCACTGCAGTAAGTGGGAAAACAAGAGCAGCCTGCACAGTAAGGGAGTCCATCAAATTCCTGGGGGCTTAAATAGAAGGAATACCTGCTGTAATCAAGCTGGATGAGATGAAAAGCAAGGATCTGAGAACCAACCAGTCTGCGCTCCCTTCCCTACATGAATGCCAAATTCCCAGGAGGAGCTTGAAACACAACAATTTCTCAAATCCTCACTTACAAAAGAGAAATCCAGACCATCCGCAGCAACCTGCATTCTGCAGGCGTAATTCTGCCTCAGAAGACAAACTTGGGGATGCCAGTCAAGCCACAAACCAGCAAGCCACAAACCACAACACACCACACAGAGCATTTGGGTACTTTACACCAGCCTGCTTTCAATATCAAACGTGCCTTTCACCACCTTGTTATTCCTTGTTAAATCTGCTCTATTATGCTCTGATGGAGGAAGATGCTCACCTGTTTTAGCACTTTCTGTAGCTCCAGCTGTACTGCACGTGTATTTACAGAGTCATCCAAGGAATGAGAAATCATTTGCTTGGAGGAGAATGTGCTCCCGCCTATTGGTGAATACCGTGCAGATCAGTCATGTGCCATTCCTGTTAATTCCTAGCGTTGCTTCCAGTCTGTAAAACAGAAGGAAGTAAATTATGAAGTCTTTTATTGAAGAGCCATTGACTTGGGAGACTTCTCAGGTTAAGTTTATTAGTGGCACTGGGTATTTGTTCTCTCTCTTTGCAAACAAAACACAGTCAACGGGTTTCAGGGTTTGATTTGGTACCAACTGCACACTAGAAAAGCATTCTTTGGTTTTTGAAATATTTTTACAGATTACACTAGAATCTCAATATTCTCATCTACTGCCTCGTGGCAACACCTAGTCCTTTGAATCACTCAGATCCTCACCCTCTCCAATCAAGTGATTACACTATTACTCTAACACTCTGCAGCTTACCAACAATTACTTAGTTCAACAAAGCCTCGTGATAACGCAGCTACAGAGTTTTCAGCATAGGGTATGTTGGCATCTGAGCAACTTAAAATGCAAGCAGAACAATCCAAGCTTGTCTGAGAGAAAGACCATGCAGATCTAAGCATCTAAGGACGGTAAGCATCTGAAGGATCAAAGCACCTAGGGTCTGTAGCATTTAATGATGCTAAAAATGTAAGTCAGTCATAAGTACCAGGAAAAAACAGGCTAGGAAAGAATGGTTTTCCCTTTGTTTTAATATATTTTATTAATCAGAAGCAGTCTAGCAGGGAAACACTTTTGGAAAGCCCATCGGTCAGAAAAGCTTACTGTGCCTAGTAAACAAAAAAGACTTCCATAAAAGAGCAGCTGTAGTTCCTCCGACAAGAACTTCTCCCCAGCTTCCTCCACTCTCTCACTCCAGACAAGCCTAAAACGTTCTTATCTGAACTCCGGAAGTGAACCTGGATCTCTGTGCTCACATCTGTTACAATAAACCCCAAGCAGCCTATGGCTAACTTCACTCCTGAACCCACTAGGCGCACTGAAGCCAGTAGGGATTAAACTGGATCCTATCACACTGCATTTCACTTACCCGAGTGCTGCATTCAGACGCCCACAGAAGGGAGAGTTAGAAACTCACTTTTAAGGTATTTTAAATATTTATAGACCGCAGTATCATGATGACAGCAAAACCTTCTGCACTTTCAGGACAATCAACAATTCATCCCCATTGTTCAGACCTTCAGCTCTATCAGGAGTTTCCCATTACTAACAGCAGATGGCTAAGTAACTTAATGGCTTTTAAACATTATGAACAAACTGTCGAAGCAAGCCTATCCAACCCAGGAAGGAATCCATGCATGCAACTCTGACTTTTTTCTCCAAAAAAGACATAACTGTCTCCTTACACATCACTTCTGGCTTCAGAGCTAAATCTGCCTAGTGGAATTAGAGTAAAAGTGAGCAGAACACAGAAAAGGCATCTGCTGCAAGGAATTCAAGACTGTAGAGCTTTACAGCTTCTCTTGATTCTTCAGCATGCATTTTTCAACACCGTGGCCTCCCTGAAGTTTTGAAAAGTTGGAGGATTTCTTTTAAGAGAATCAGAGAAGGAAAACTAACTCATACTATCTTTGCACTGCTGTTGCAAGTATTTCTTGTTAATGTGACTTCTGCTAATGATGACCACAGTATAAATATATTTGTAGACATGGGCATAGGCTGATTTGGTTTCTGTTAGGTTTTGAGGCAACGGTGCTGTTGTCGCTGTTCTATTTCATTCTATTCTTTTTGAGTTAGACTTCTAAAGGGGTCTCTGAGTCAGCGCTGCTCACAGGTGGAAGTGACATCTTAGGTTTATTCAGCTGGTCAACAGCATTCAGGCCTGCAGCTCCCAGTAGCAAATTAACCCTTCAATCTTGTGTGAGAAGGGCAGCATGAAGGACTAACAAACAAGCCATTTATCTGTGTGTAAAATGCAATTGGCTAAAGATTAATCCTCATCTTTAGGAAAACTAGCATCGTCTTGTCTTACACCCATTATTAACATGAGGAAATTTCTGTTTGGGTATAAAAAGTAGTGGATTTCAACTGCAAACATGCTATATCAGGAACTGACACTATTTTCTACCAACAGTATTAAGCAACTTCTATTTTTTTGAAGAGAAAAGATGCAGAATTCCAGTAAAGAACTGGCATGCATACCTCTAGAATACACTTCTCTAAAACGCTAGCTTCTGACCAGAGCATATAAAACTACTCCCTCCACTGTATTTCCATTCAGAGGAAGTCTCAAAGTAAAAGCAGTTCTGCAGCTAAATAAAGCATGTTGCACCATCTGCTGGACACTTCTTAAGCCAAGTCCTGATGGTTTTATCAGAGAAAACCTTCACAACTTGTACCTCCCAGTTCTGACAGAGAGCAAAGTACCACACCTGTCCACCTCAAAGGCCCAAATTAATATCTTACGTTTAAAAAAACAGAAGGGAAGAAGGAGCATTATGCTCTTATGTTTGTATAGCTCTGTTCCATTTGGGTTAGCAGTTCAATTCGGACCCAACCTTCTTAGCTGACAGAAACTGCAGTACTTTGAATATCAGAAAATGTGCTTATCACCTGCATGTTCATTTTCTGCCTTTTCCATCCTCAAATGCTTTCTCAGCAAGTCTGAAAAGTCATGAATAAAATATAATTACTATATTCACAGGGCTTACATTTAAATTCAGGCTTTGGAGCAGCAAATATTAAAAGCTGATGCAATTAACAGGGAAAACAGAAACTCACATAAGAACTCCCCGAACTCCATTTCACTCATGGCATGAATTTCCCTGTACAGCTGTCTAGGCATTACGGAGTGATATATTGCAGTCTGTCAGAATTGCAAGTTTTGAGTCATGAAGGTTTTCTCTGATCCAAATGCATCAGCCATTTTGAATTCCGTGCAAAATTTCTTTCCTGCCCCTAACCAGGTGGTCAGAGAATCGAAAAAGTCAGTCTGTGCTCAATCGCCTTGCCATGGATAACAGACATTTTACTCTAAATCACAATAGGCAACTCAGCAGAGCTCTGTATGCTGCTGGATAAATAAACAACCGAACAGAAGAGCACTAACTTATCCCTTGGACTGGTTATCAGTAACACACGTACCTGAGAGCTACATTTCTTTTGCTGTGGGGGAGAGCCCCCCTGTTGACCTTGCTAGACATGCTCTGAATAGGAGCAAAGCCTGACAGTCCCAGGATGTTGTAGGTATCACAAAAGAACCCCTCTTCTACAGAGTCATTAAGGTTGAAGAAGAGCACTAAGATCATTAGTCCGACCATCCATGCCTCAGTGCCACATCTCCTCAGTGCTTGAACACCTCCAGGGACAGTGTCTCCACCACTTCCCTGTGCACCCTATGCCAGTGTCTCACCACTTCTGAGAATAAATGTTTCCTAGCATCCAATCTGAACAGTTCCAGCCTGTAGTTTTATTCACCTGCAGCTCCAAAGCCTTGTTTTCTCCTCCTTATAAGAAGTTAAAGTGGCTAAAATCAAACATGAAACACCAGCCTATTTCAAAAGAACTGAGGGAATTCAAAGCTCAGGGGCAACTGCACTCTGCAATAGCTCTTATGCCCTAGCGGCAACTTGAGAATCTTTTCTTCCCTCTAGGCTGAGCAGTAAAAACTCAGCTTCAGGTCTTTTTAATGTAGTTGACCGAGTTCTGCTACCATTTGAGTTGCCCAAGTGTCTTTCCCCTCTCATCTTTCAGTTGCGCCAAGATCACGGCAGAGGAAAAAGAAGTTAAAGCAAGAAATTTTCTGGAAGAACTAAAATCCCAGCTCAGGCTGTACCTCATAGAGACAAGGCAAGCACTAGAACAGCCCTGAAAATTCAAGTTCCTGTCATTTTCAAGTGCCCCCTCAAGAAACTCCGTAGTAATGAAATTGTTCTTGGAGCTGCTGCAGGTTATTAAGAAACACCTCCGTAAGCAGAATCAGAACAACCTCTGCTGACTGTTTTATCTCAGTGGAGAATTTGTTGTGTGTGGGTCTTAATTAGCTTCTCCGTAATTCAGTCCTGACACAGCAGCATGCGTGGAGAGGTCTCCAGAGGCTGGAATACTATTGCTGTTGCATGCTTAAAACAGCTGCCAAGGTTTACAAGACTGAGAGCACTCAAAGCATCTAGACAACCAACCAAAATAGTACAGCAAGTCATCAGTAAGTGCAGACCCAACATTACTTACACGTGTACCATAATACATAGGTACAGCTTGACACTTTTACACTAAATATGACCCAAGTAGAAACCACAGCAGGTCAGGATAAACAAAAAACTAGTTTTGGCAGATCTGAGCTGATAAAACATCGATTTGAACCCAAGTACATGTTCTACTGGCAGGCTAGGGAACTGCTCTCCATTCCTGCTAATAACTTCATGCCCTGAAACAGAAGTATTAGGCAGAGTAACTCATTAAAATAAATATCATTGTGAAACACAGGGTTCGGAAGCCCCACTTGACTCTCAGCATGCAGCACTATTGCTGGAAGGCTAATTTGGAGTTAAGGATAATGGCTAAGTGTGTGTATCATTGACAACTCTACCACACATAAGTGCTTAACTAAACTGTCTACGATAGATGAGGATCAAACACTGCTCATCTACTTGGAAAAAGAAGATCATTATTTCCTCTCACATTTGTTCAGGGTGTTTGCATTCAATTTTCATGTGAATATCCAGGCCTTTCATTATTCCAACATTTACACATATGTATGTATATAAACCTCAGCGTGTTCAGTAAGCATTGAGAGTGTAAGAACTTTTAACATTTAAAACTTATGCTTTGGTTACCTCTAACCCAGAGATGTAAACATGCTGTTGTCATCTATCATCCACTGCTTTCATGGGGCACCTCCACTCACAAGCAGGCTGAAGATGAGGATGTAAACAGCTGTATCACTACAGCAGCATAGCTGAGGCAATTCCACTTTCCACACACCAAATGGTAGCTAATTTTTGCCAAACAATAGGTGTTTGGGTAAGATAGCTAATTCTGCCTTTGATGTAAAGCCATTTGTAATTGCTTACCCTCTAAAGAATGGTAAAATAGTCAGTGCAATTAAGATTAATTATTCTCTCAGTGTGAAAAACATATAGAGTGCCCCAGACCTTTCTATTGCAGCCTAAGTGCACCAGAAATAAAAAACTACTCAATCTTTACTGGGGAAAAAATACCCCTTTTTTCTCCCCTCATATAGAA